AAAAAAAAAAGAAAAAAAAAAAGAAAAGTTTTGTTATGGTGGATATGAAGAGGAGGAATTATGGCCCCTTTTATGCTTAGTACTATATTTTGGGATGTTCAAGTTACAGCAGCAATGAACTTGTTTCCACATTAGAGAAACTTATAAATTAAAATGAACAGCAAATTTATTAACTGGAAGACAATTCAGCTTGATCCAAATTCTTTGAATCACTCATATTCAGAGATGGAAGACAACAAAACCAGGCCTGTTCACTAAATCACCTGATAGGATTGGAACTCTTTGAATTCGGCAAGTAACATGGAGCAAATTTATTGAAAATACAAATTCACAAGTATTGCATTCATTAGACAAGCTCGAGTACAGATGATGAAAGAAAAAAAAAAAATCCAATTTAGACACAAGAGAAAACTTTTCTGCAAGAGAAAATTTCTTTAAAATGTGAAAAATGACATAAGGAGCCAGATTATACAAAATCACCGAGTTCTTTACAACCTACACAAATGAAATTAATGAAAATATCATAAAGGACATGCGGCAAACTCCTCATCCCTACAAATTTGCTGTCTCATTATTATTTTCATAACATTCTTTGGGAAAAAAAAGCACGGAACTAAGAACAACACTTTCCCCACATTTCAATTCACTCGTATGAGCAGAAGGCATAAAATTATGAAATCCCAGAGTAAATGTAATACTTTGTTGACAAAAATGTAGAAGAAAACTACGCATAGAACGGTTACCTGACGCGAGTAAACAGCAGAAGCGTTGAGCTTGAGCGCCATAATCAACTCTCTGTGGTGAAATTGCAATAACAAAAGGGTATAAGCACATGAAAAAACCATATTGAAATGCATGAATAAGTTGTATTTGAAGATATAAAGCAAGTGAAGACACAAGAAATGAATATGTAAGAAAGTAAAAGAACAATACCCACTTCAGCATATTTTTTGCATACCAAACGAGATCCGCTTTCAATGACCGAATAAAACACCATCAAACAAAACAAATCATCTCCATGGATAAATATTTTCTTTAACTGCACATACATCAGCTGATGCCATATTATAGTTGTTTGACCAAGTAGAAAATTAGGAGTCGCTTCTATCATTATCCATAGTGATGCAACAATTGAAATGGTGTTTTAGACAATCACAGAAATGGCAACATAAAATTCAAGAAACGGGAAAAAGAAATACAATTCAAGGCTCAGGATATAATAAGTTCTTAAATTAAGGATATAACTAATTGCAACCTTCACTTGACTGCAAGACAATTAGAAAATATAAAAAGAAGTACAAAAGATGGCAATTGAAACTACATCAAAACTAAGTACAATATGTGCATATAGATGCATCTAATAAGCATAAGTAAGCCTCAACATATGTGTTCTTAATAACCAAGAAATGTTCAGAGAAAATATGTCCATTGCAAATGGAGCTAGAAGAGTCATTGTTGACAATTCTTCTGGCATAGTGCTAATAACGGACTAGATCAAAATGACTCAATTAAATTCTAGTGCTTCTTCTATTAGTGAAGTCTCTAGAAAAAAAAAATATCAAACGACACAATGCACCTTGGGTCGCTACGGCAGCCTCCTTGTATAGTTACAAGGGTAAGATCTGCGTACAACTGACCCCCTAAACCCCAACCTGTTGGGAATATACTGGGTATGTTGTTGTTGTTGTTGTTGTTTAGAGAAAATCATATAACAAAGTAAGCTAAAATACTATGCAACAAATTACTATGAAAAGGCCAACATTCTTAAATATGCTTCACTTTGTAAATCGACTTGCTTTCATTGTGCCAAAGTGACATTGAAGTACAGAGTACGGGAGATCCTCTAAGAGGGATAGAAAGAGAGAAGATTCTGGATATAAGACGAAGCAAAGATAAAAGCAATTTGTATGTAGAGAAACATCAAGGTTCACAAACCCTTTCATTATGTGCGCCATTGGTTCACTGTAGAAATTCATGTTTGCATGGATCAAATGACAATGCGATCATTATCCACGTTACTGTTTTACGGCCAATTTTAAACCCTCTAGTAGTAATTCAGATTCATCTTTGGAATTAAGAAATTTTCTACCTTTCATGTTCATATCCACTTCCAGTACAGTCAATAACAAGAATATCATTAAGAACTCGAGCAATTTGCAGGTATCCAGCAAAATCACACCGACACTGTCGGCATTGGAAGGATGAAACTATTTGATGGGTCTTACTTGCTTAAAATCTACTCATATTAATGAATTATAAGCAAAGTAATCAATTAAACACCTACTGAGATCTGCACGAGCAATAAGCCCGAACAACAAAATCCCCATAACTCGCCAACCAAAAGAGCGCCTAACCAGCAAAAAGAAAGAAAAAAAAAAATCCGAAACCAATTGTCATCATGAACAAGGCCAAAACGCAATGTATAAACAGATAAAACGACGCATGCACACACAGTTCTTCGCAAAGCTAAACATAAAGCAAATTAGCCAAAAAAAACAAACTATAAAGCTATGAGAACTCTCAACATGGGCACATTCTCTAGAGCGACAACCGCAATTTAATTCACCATCATTGAGAAATTTTAAGCAAAAAAAAAAAAAAAAAGCTTTAAACAGAAGTAACCGTGCAATACGATCTCGAGAAAGCTAACGAGTTCTGAATCAACGGAGAGAGATCAACCCACGAGCCTGAAGCCCAGCCTAAGAACCCTAGAGAGAGAGAGAGATAGCCGCACAATTCAAGCTAAACCCCGGAGAAATGCCTTTCGTATGTGAGAGAGAAATAAGCATGTGAAGGTGTTGAACGCAGGGCAGAGAAGGGATTATACCGAAAGGGGTAGGGGAATGGAGCCTGGAGGTGATGTCAAAACAACTAGGGAGAGGTGAGTGACGCCTTCTTTGGTTAGAAAAATGAAGGGGGATAGGATTATCTATTGTCTTCTCTTTATACATAAAACAATTAAATAATATAAATTTTAAAGGCATAATGATAATTACTAGAATATCCATGTACTAAATGAGTGGTTGATAAAATAATTAGTGTAAGAAAAAAAATGAAAATAAAATTATATATTTTGTAGAAGTTGCAAAAATAATTAAGGAATAATATATAACAATTTATAATAAAAAACGTGAAATTAACAATATTATTTTAAATTCTAAAAATTAATTTATATATATCATTAATTTAATATATGATATTTTTATTTAAAAACATGTAAGGGGATAATATGGAAAAAACACAAAATATGAAATGTAAGATTATATAAACATATTAGGAAAAATATAATAAGTAGATTTATATGAAATTGTTTAAATATGTGTATATATATCCTAAGATGTTGAGTATAAAAATTAGTAATTTTTATCCGAGCCATATTATAAATATAATACTTTTCCACATAAGATTGCGAAGCGTGCGAAGCTTCCACATAGGCTCAGCGCGTTCTGAAATTATATATAAAGGGGATTTATCGTTCCCAAATTCTTTCATTTTGGATAGGGGAAAATTTTTGGGAGGGGAGGGAATTATTATCGCTCGTTTCTTTATTAAATAGCATAGTTCGTGTTGCATTCATTTAAGCTTAATGTTTTAATCTTAGAATTAAATTCTAATTTATATAAATAACTTAACCAAAAATTAAATATATATCCCCATCTATAATTATATAAAGTTTGTTAATCAAATAATTAAACAACCTAATCAAATATTATCTAAATAAATAAAGAAGTTAAGCTAAGTCCTAAGCAAGAAAGGAAAAGAAGAATTTTTCCTAAATTTTCCTAAGTGTTTAAACACATATATCTCAGTCAACTCCCTCATGTTCCCTTCAAGAAGCCGCCCCTCAGTGTTTGTCTCATTTTTGTTGCGTTTTTCATTGTCATTTTGCCTTTCTTTTCCCCCATATTAGGTCTTTTACATGTTTTTAGTTCGTTTTGTAGTTTATTTCGTGGTTTTCTCTATTTTGGTTTTCCTTGATGTTTTTAGTTTGTTTTTCTTGATTTCTGTGTTTTTCTCGTCTTGAGTGGTGTGCAGGTTGAGTTCCTTGATTGTTTTGTATATGGGGGAGGAAAATATTTTGGTAAGCATAATTTCGTAGAAGGGTTCGTTGGCATCACACAGAAGAAAATAGAATCAAATTCCGAGTCCAGACGAGCGTAAACGAGCCCGAGACGTGAAGTCGTGCATGGGAGCTAGCAATCAGGCCCAGCGCCACGCGCGTGCCGCGCAGCGCCACACGCCGCCACACCCCAGCCTAATCAACAACCTCTTCCTGACCTCCTCCGGGACTTAGCCCAACCATGATCGGATAAATCACTTCTTGTATCCGGCTGGGGCAGGCTGTCAGAAACTACGAATTGAAAATGGTCCATTACAACCAGCTACCCTCATTCTACGGACTTCCGAATGAGGATCCACTCCACTTCATCCGGGAGTTTTACAACGTCCTCCAGACGTTCTTTCTGCTTGGGCTGACTGAGAACCAATTAAAGATACGGTGCTTACCGGAGACCCTGAAGGACCGAGCCAAGGCATGGTTCATGACTCTTGCACCAAATTCTCTCACCAATTGGGCCAAGGTGTATTCGAAGTTTGTTGGGAAATACTATTCCCACCATAAATCTAAAGAAATCTGGTCCAAATCGTCTCTTTCGCTCAGTTACCGAATGAGCCTCTTCATGAGGCTTGGGAGCGGTTTAAAGACCTCCAGAGGCAGTGCCCACACTACAATCTCTCCAGGGCTTTTGGAAAATTGTTTCTACGACTCTCTCCACCAAAACTTGCAGTACATGGTGGACAATGGCAGCCGGGGGAGACATCGGGGCGAAGACAATTGAGGAGATGATGGACATAATCGAGAAGATGAGCCTAAATTCGTCTCAGAAGAGCATCAGATAGAAGAGTACCATGGTGAACGAGGTTGGACTGGGCAACGATGTTATGGCCCAGCAGTTAGCAGAGCTCACGGAGCAGATGCGGCTATTAAATACAAGAGGAGCATAACCGGTTCAGACGATGGCAGTAAATGTTTGCTGCGCATGCGGAGTTCAAGGACATAGTTCAGAGGTGTGCCCGTCGGCTACCAAACCGAGCTACGGAGGACAAAATACCGAGGTAAACGCACTGCAGATGTATCAGAACCGGCCTGGAATGACATTTACTAAAACACGTATAATTCGGGATGGCGAAACCACCCGAACTTTTCATGGGCCAACAACAACTATCAGCAGCCACCTCAAACCAACTTTGTCCCACAGCAGTAGCAACCAAGGGACAAATGATGAGGATGCCAATGCCAGCGGCGGGACCGAGCCCACCAGGCATGGACGACAAACTAGACAAAATTTTAAATTTTATCACCAATCATGCGTCCATTAAGCGTCTCGAGATGCAAGTTGGACAATTGGCGACACGGGTTGGAAGCATCGAGGCTGAGTTGAACAAAGAGAAGTTGCCGAGTCAGTTGGAGCATGCGAATGCAGTTACAGTGCTTATCCCAGAGCTAGAGAAGAAGGCAGTTGCGAACGAGGAGAAAGAAGGGAATAATGGGCCAGAGAGGGAAAGAGCGAACAAAAGAGGCTCCGGTGATACCGCCTACTGAGCAATTTAGGGCTGAACATGGGACTCGGAGAATTCTGAACCGTTCCAAAAACCGAACCGAATTCACTCCGAACCGAAAAATAATCGTTGACCATTTGACTTTTTCCGAACCAAACCGAACCGTACGGTTCTAGAGATTTTACAAATACCGTACCGAGAACTGAACCGAAATATCCCATACCGT